TTTGAGTTAGGGATTGAGAAAGGCAAAAGTTGTGGGCCTTAATGCCTGCCGAGTCACTGACACTAGAGCCAAGCCATTCAGTGTGATGAACATTAAAGTCACCGACAACAACAATATTGGCTGATGGATAAAGAGAGAGGGATTGGTCAATATGATCAGAAATAATATCAAGAAGAGTCCAGTCTTGAGATGAGGGAGAGTGATATAAAACAAAGAGAAAGGTGATAGAGTGAAGTGGTGCTAAACGAAAGCACATAAAAGAGTAGTCTGTGGATTCAAACCTAATTTCCCGAAAAATGGGTGAATTCTTACAAATGTAAATGCCTAGGCCAAGCATGTGACTATTGGAGTCTTTACGAATTAAAGGAAGGTAACCATCAACACTAAGATCACAAGATGAGACAGTCGAACTCAAATTAGTCTCACAAAGAGCAAGTAGGTCTGGTGAACTTTGCAAGAGATAAGACTCAACAGAAGAAAAGTTATTTCGAAGGCCACGAATATTAGTGAATGATAGGTTTAGCAAACTTGGTGATGACTGTGGTTTTTTGTGTTAGATCAAATTAGATCAAAATATTATTCATTTAAAGTTTAATTGTAAAAATGTTTTTTCTCTTGCGTTCTACGCAATAAAAAATGCTTTTCTAATTTTAATGATCAAACTTTTTTGGTTTCGGTTACCAAAAATAAATGACAGTCTTTTTTAAAAAAAACGATACAAAAAATATCGGGAATATTTAAGAAAACATTTATTAAAACTTTAACGCAAGAATATTTATTTAAAAAAAATAAAAAATACTGTTTGTTATTGTAACTTTCTTTCGCAAACTTTTACTTTATTCTTAGCAAGTGTTTCAGATCCTGATTTCCTTTTCAAAGAAATATTTTTATATTGCTTTTTCTTGCATCTATTTTATAATTATTTTAATACTTTTTATATAGTTTTACTTCTAAAACTTATTTTCTAATAATTTTGAACAAAAACAATTTAATTTTGCTTAAAGCATTATGATGTTTTAAGAATTCAACATTCTTTCTACCAATCATAAACTTGCATATTTACTTTTTTTTTTAAATTTTTCACATAAAACTTTATTTTTTCTAAATAGTAATGCAAATTAGATTCATTAATAAAAATTCATTTTATTCAAAATAGTTCATTTACAAGGAATAAACTTTTTGTTTCTATAAATTTTGTAATACCTTATTAACAATTGTTTTACTTTTAACGTTTTGATGTTGATGTTTTACTTTTGTCTTTTTAAGATTTTTGTGACATTTGTTTTAAAATGTTTTTGAATTTTTAATATAAAGTTTGACATGCTAGTTCTTGCCGATCAAATTTGATTGTCCAGAATTGATTTTAGAATCTACAGAACAACATGGAATACCTAACAGCTGAGTATGAAAAATTTTTTTTTTGTGATGCACCCTAATGCTGGTAATGCACCCTAATTCCTGTCTTGATAAGAAGCCAATACTCTCTAATTGCTTGGAGGAGGCATTTGAGCTTGAAAAAGATCTCACTTCTGCAACATCATCAGCCTCTTATTGGCTGGTGAATTTTAACTCAGACTTAACTTTTTTTCGGATAATTGTTATAGCAACAAACACCTTTCTTGGAAACCATATATCATATTATACAGCAAATTTCTATCAGCTAAAGTTGCAGATAATAATTTGTTGTAAAGCATCTCTGTATTGTGCTTGTCTATTACTTACTCCGGATTCTTTATCTCTATGAATTTCGCTTTTTTTTGTTTTTATTTTTTTAAATCATTAAGTTTTGGGAATTTTAAACTCTTTGGGAATTCCATGGTATACAAGCTGCCATTAGGCTGGCATATTTTCCATTGTCCAAATTCATACCACCGTACATTAGAGAACATTGATGTTTTTGTTTATCTCCAAGGAAAGTATACTATTGAAGTTAAAAACAAAAATAAGATACTTAACTATTTGGATATAACTGTTATTAATAATACACAATGCGAGTGCCTATAATGAGGCAAAAATTTCAAATAAAATATTTAAAATTGAAAAAATTTTAATTATCTGATGTTTTAAATAGACAAGGAAAATATGTGTTCAAGAATTACAGGAAGGATGCTATAACCAATATCCAAATCAAACCTCATACTAATCACGATCCCAAAATTTTAAAAGCAATATTCAATGGATACATACACAGAGCATACTCAATAAGCAGTAAAAACCATTTAAAAGATAAGATAAATTTTTTAATTCAAGTGTTTACTGAAAATGGATACAAGGAAAAAATGCTTAAAGATATTTCTTATCAGGTTCGAAAAAAACGTTTAGTGAATAAAAATAAAATTCTATCAAACTCTAATAACCTTCCTACAATCTCTTTAATTATTGGTATCCATGATACCAATAATTTCTCTCAGACTTAAAAGAATATTTAGGAAAGCTGGTTATAGAACTGTTTTTAAATTAAATGCTAACCTAAAAACGCTATTAATATCTAGAAATAAATCAAACTTACCACACAACAGCACCCCAAGAACCTATTTAATTAAGTGTAAACGCTCTAAACTGTATGTCGGTGAAACAAAACTTTAAATATGACCAAGGGTTTGATAACACCAAAAATTTTTGACTAAAGGCAACCTAAACAAGTATGTATATATATATACATGATTTATAAGCTTTGCATAAAGTAAATTGCAATGAGGACATTAAATGGGATAAAGTAGGAACACTTAAAGTTGAAGATAAAAAATTTGAAAGAAAAGTCCGCAAAGCCTTTGTGATACAAAAACATTAATGTTCTCCAATGTACAGTAGTATGAATTTGGACAATCTAAATGTGGATATGTAAAAACAAATTTTTGGACTTCATTTTTAAATTTTTTAAATTTAAATTGCAATGAGGACATTGAATGGGATAAAGTAGAAACATTTAAAGTTGAGGATAAAAAATTTGAAAGAAAAGTCAGTGAAGCCTTAGAGATACAAAAACATTAATGTTCTTCAATCTACGGTGGTATGAATTTGGACAATGTAATTTGGATATGTAAAAACAGATTTTTGGACTTTTTTTTCATATTTAAGTAAAAGTAGCCATTATAAAGGTGGTGTCAAAATTTAAAATTTTTGTTGTTATTTAACAATCACAATTTTTGTAATTATATTATATTATATGCTGATGATGCAAGTGCCTATAATGAGGCAAAAGTTTCAAATAAAATATTTAAAATTGAAAATTTTTTAATTATTTGATGTTTTAAATTAATTTATAAATATAAACTCTTGTACAAGATGTCATCATTTAAATCATGTATATATATATATATATATATATATATATATATATATATATTTATATATATTTATATATATATATATATATATATATACATATATATATATATATATATATATATATATATATATATATATATATATATATATATATATATATATATATATATATATATATATATATATATATATATATATATATATATATATATTTAAACAACTTAAAATGTATTCTACAAAAAGAGTGCTCAATGTTCTAAAAAAAACAGAGCAATTAGTTTTAAATTAAAATTAGTAGAAATTTTTCGCTAAGTGATTTTCTACTAATTTATATATATATATATATATATATATATATATATATATATATATATATATATATATATATATATATATATATATATATATATATATATATATATATATATATATTTAAACAATTTAAAATGTATTCTACAAAAAGAGTGCTCAATGTTCTAAAAAAAACAGAGCAATTAGTTTTAAATTAAAATTAGTAGAAATTTTTCGCTAAGTGATTTTCTACTAATTTATATATATATATATATATATATATATATATATATATATATATATATATATATATATATATATATATATATAATAATAATAATAATAATAATAATGATAATAATAATAATAATAATAATAATAATAATAAAAGAGTTTGATTATTTGAAAAAATACAACTTTGTGATGGTACTTGAAGTTTCATGCCCTTCGACAATCATCAGCTATATTTTATTCTTTTTAAATCAAGAAAAAACCGTTAAAAAATTCAAAATACAAAATTAACAGAAAAAACAATAATAAAGAAATAGAATGAGCCTTAATAATGAAGCTTCAATAATGAAGCAATAGAATTCCATTTAAAATTAGATATGCCAACCATATAAAATCATTTAACATTCTAAAATACAAAAATGACACTGAACTATCAAAAAAATTTTGGAAACTGAAAGATGCAAATTTAAATCCAGTTATTAAATGGAAAATAATTAAGCAGTGCAATGCTTACAACCTAACCACGAAGTCTTGCAAACTGTGTATAAATGAAAAATATCAAATTCTGTTTTCCAAAAATAAAAATCTACTTAACAAAAAAAGTGAAATGATATCAAAGTGCAGGCATCGAAACAAGTTTCTTCTCGCCCATTTCGACACAGCCGATTAAACAATTTTCTAATTAAAAATTTGTTTTGACGTCAGAACTCATGCTATTGCTTTATTATTGTTTTTTCTGTTAATTTTGTATTTTAAATTTTTTAACGGTTTTTTCTTGATTTAAAAAGAATAAAATATGGCTGATGATTGTCGAAATGCATGAAACTTCAAGTACCATCACAAAGTTGTATTTTTTCAAATAATCTAACTCTATTATTATTATTATTATTGATCTATTTTGTAAACACTTACACTATATTGATCACTCTTAAACGAACAAGAGACTTTTGTATCTTAATTTGGTACAATAAAACAACAATATATATATATATATATATATATATATATATATATATATATATATATATATATATATATATATATATATATATATATATATATATATATATATATATATATATATATATATATATATATATATATATATATATATAGCACCATAAATTTAACATATATTATTAATTTATTGTTTCTCTTTTTGTTTATGTTTTTTTGTTTGTTTTGAATAGCTTTACCTTTACCCGGTGATATGATTGCTTTGGGAAAGATGCCAGGTGATATTTTTTAATGTTATATTTACTTTTGTTTTAAATTATAGGTTTATTTCTGCAGTGTATTGGATTATATGTCCAATACAAAGAAAAGCAGAATTCTAAAGCATTGTTAAAAAAATTTTAAAGCATTAATTTTTGGTAAAAAAACTACATTAATAGAAAATTTTTTTATCATAAAAATTAATTATTGTAAAAGGATGCAACCTTGCATCCTTTTATTGTATTTTTATAATATTTTACTTTAACTGCTTCTTAATTCAACTATGTAACTTTTCAAAAATGGTACTTTTTATGCTCTGCAGACTTTTTATGCTCTGCAGCTAGAACTGATATAATTAAATATACAATGTGTTTTTAGACTTTAATCTCATAAGAAATATTTGCAAAAATATTCCAAAATTATTTTATACAAGGATGCATTAGAGGTAAAAATTGAAATCAGGACTAAAATTGTTATTTAATAAAAGGTTAGTAGTGAATGATAATCGCAAAAGTACAAAGAAGTAAAGTAGATGACTCTAAGAAGATGAACAGCATTGAAAAGAAGTAAAGTAGATAAATATAAGAAGATAAACAGCATTGCGATAGTTATTTATAGTAAACAACTTTTTTGATTTTTGTTTGAAATTTTACCAGGTACTGCAAGTCCCAAACTATCACAGAAGCAAAATTTCATTCAAAATCAGCTACTTGTACTTAGCAATCAAAAAGATTTTACTTTCGCTATAAAATTTCATCAAGCTTTCCCCAATATGTTTGCCTGTTATCTTATCAAGATTCAGAAAGTCAAGAAGTACTTCTCTAATTTCTTTTTCTCCGTTTACGTATTTCATACATACTAATAGAATTTATTGGTTTGCAGTTGTTACCTCGTCTGCTGAAATTGAATAGTAATTTGCAGCTTTGATTTTCTTAATTAGCCACTCTTGTATACATTTCTTTCCAATTATATCAATTAATTCATTTTGACTCTTGGGGCCAAGGTAGCTGTTTCTTGCACAATTGCAAGAAAGTTTCCAGGATTACCTTTTTGGACTGAGTTTTCCATACACTTTTCATAAGTTCCACGAAAGGCTAGTCTTTGTTTCCCCATCAAATGCACAATTCTACCTAATGCTTCAACAATGTACGAGTATATTTGTTGTCGGTTTTTTAAAGTGCTATTGCTTTGTAACGGAATGGTTTGTCTTGGATCTTCAAAACGACAACATTAGCTTGATCGAAGGTTTCTTTATGGTATTTATTGCCTATATGTAGTTTTTGTTTCTCTAAAACATTGTGCCATTCCTTATATCCATGGTTAACAAAAGTTCTCAAAGATTTTTTTTTATCCTGCTTTAGAAATAAAGTGCAGTATATGCAGTAGGCTGCTTCTCCACTTTTGCTGTAGACAAATCCATTTTGTAAATATTCTTCTTTATAAGCGCGTTTGCAACCATGTTTTAATGTTTTGGGAAATATATCTTCTGTTTTAAGTTACTTGTAAACATTTTGTAAGTTTCATGTGGTGATAATTTTTGATTTCTGCGCAAGAGTTCGTCAATATCATATCGTTTTTCTTCTTTAAAATCACATTCTTTTAAATTTGTTTGGTTTACTTTGCATGACAAGCTTTTGTTAACATTGTTATTATCTTTAATGACTTCCTCTTTTTCTTCTACTTCGGGTAATGTTTTATTGATTACATTTTGAGAACTGTCGATAATAAAAAATACTTAAAACATAAGTAATTAATAATAAACTTTCAGATCTTATACTATACCAAAATTAAAAAAAACTCGCGTAAGCATTACAATAAAAAACAAGTTATAACAAAAGTACTATCATAAAAAAATTTAACGTATAGATAATATTTGTATCTTTATCTAGTTAATATCTATTTCTAGTTAATATCAAACTAATCAAACTAATTATTATAAAAAGAAGATCAAAATAACTTTTTTACTTAAAATATCCAGCTAACCATTTGCATTTCTTTGCTGCATTTTGAAACTCTTTTCTATCAGCTGCTCGTTTCCTAATTTGGTTAACTCTAATGTTTGCTTTTAAAAGTAAATTAGTAAAGAATTATAATTACAGTATATACTCTGGAGAGACTATTTTTCATTTTTCGTTTACAAAAGGTTTCACAATGAAATAGCTTGTAATGACGAATACGTTGGTAAAACATTAAAGTAAGAATTGTTTCTTTGTGAATGATTCATAAAAATCATAAAAATTGTGAATGATTCATAAAAATCAACTAATTATCATAAAAGTTTTGATTAAATATTTTAACATTAAAAAGAGTCTTGAAATAAATTTTGGCGTCAAATTAAAAAAGGTACTTTGAATAAAAAGGGGGGTCGATCGCACCCAATGACCCCCCCCCCCCCCATGGCACATGCCTGAAATAGCACTGAAACTCTTATTCTCTCCTAATAATGGTTTATATTGAAAGTATTGTTAAATACTGTTGTTTTTTAAAAGTTGTATATAATTTTTTAAATTTATATTATATAAATTATATAAAAATAAATTCTTTATACAAAATGTTATAAAAAAGAAAAATTCACTTTAAAAATCAACTTTGAAAATCATTAAAAGTTCAAAATTATTACAATTAAAAAGATAAAAAAAAATTTTTGAAAAAAAAAAGACAAATGTTTTTAAAAGCCATTGCAATTAAGTAGGATCTTTAATTAACTTCAGTTAGTGTCCCTAAATGTTGACATCTTCAATAGAATTATACAAATAATATATATATATATATATATATATATATATATATATATATATATATATATATATATATATATATATATATATATATATATATATATATATATATATATATATATATATATATATATATTATTTGCATTCACTCCCAACAAGGCTGCAAGCAACCACTATTAAGTTGGGAGTTACTAGGAAAAAAAATAACAGAGTTGTAGAGCAAGGAAACGGTTGACAGAAGACTTGAAAAGTTGAAGGTTGTATGAGTCAGGAAAACATGAAGATGGGTTATATATATATATATATATATATATATATATATATATATATATATATATATATATATATATATATATATATATATATATATATATATATATATATTGTAGGAATTATGTTAATATTTCCAGTAAGAGTGCTCAATACAGCGTTTTATATTATTAGTAGAGCAAATAATATAGTGAAAACTTATTAACACAAATAGAACTGTTTGTTTATTGTGTTTTTTCTGCTTATTGTGTTATATATATTTATAACTATATATATGTTATATAGTTTATAACTATATATATGTTATATATTTATAACTATATATATGTTATGTAGTTTATAACTATATATGTTATATAGTTAATTGTGTTATATATATATATATATATATATATATATATATATATATATATATATATATATATATATATATATATATATATATATATATATATATATATATATATGTATATTTATATATATATAAATATATATATATAATCAACTAAAAAGGTTAAAAATACTTTATGGCGAGGAGGCAAAACTGCTTCACAATATCACTGATGGTGTTTAGTTAGTGGGTTTTTTAATTTTAATTAGTATTTAAAGCAGAAAAAAGTATAACGAGTTTAAAGAATGGCAACTTGAGCGAAAATAATTAGAGTTAGTAAACCAATATCTACAAACTTTTCTTTATATCTAATTATTTGCTATATATATTTGTGCCCTGTAGTGACGTCAGGCGCGGTTCTTGTTTATCTGCAAGTTACTTTGTATGCGTTTTTTGTGTTTAGTAACCAGAAACTTCTTATATGTTTGTTACATAAATAGTTTTATTAACTTGAATGAATATAACTTCATTAAAAACGCAATTATTTTTATAAGTCTTTGTTTAAATCATAAAAATTGCTTTAAAAGATACATTATGATAAAAAACAGATACACAAAATTACATTTACATAAAGAATACTTACTTTTTAAATAAAAAATAAGAATATACTAATAAAATCTATAATTTATAATAAACTTGTAAAATTTTGACAATTTCATTAATATATATTTAAAGCATTTATTTTTGTAAACAAATAATATATATTCTTAAAACAATTTATGCTAAATGTAACAAATCGTTAATTATACAATTTCTAAAACATTTCAAGAGAATACTCTGAAACTTTATTTCGCTTAGTCAAGTTATTTTTTGAACCAATAGAATTAGTTTGTTTGTTAATTTAGCGGGTTTTTAGTGTTCGCGAATATTCTTTTTATTCTTTCGTTACAAGTTGTTTTAAGAACATTAAAGTTTTTTATGTTTCCATGTATGTCCGTAAAACAAAATTTTTTTGTTTCGTACATAAGTACGAAGTACAGCAAAAACTACCTGCATCCCTTCCTCAAAATTGATGACATATCTACCATCCTCATTCGAAACAAATTAAATCTGTTTATCAGACTACTGAACAATCCAACTTGTCTTTCCCTGATTTTGGCTCAGATATCTGATGTTACTAAAGATAACCTATTTATCAACGAAGTAATAAAAAGTTGCAATCAATTTGAGCTAAACTTCGTGCAGTGTTTGATAGAGGGGAAACAAATAACGGTAAAACGTTGCTACGATGACGTAGGAGAAAATATAGCGGCAATTTTGAACCATTCTTTTGAATTCTGGAATATCAGAGAACAAAGACTGGTATTTACTAAGTTGATGGAGGAAAACATCCCAAGAAAAATTTAAATTTTTAATACTGAAAGTATTAAAAATTTAAAACTATTAGTTTTATACAATTTGTTTTTTTACCTGTAATTTGGGTGTTAAAAAGAATAAATAAATAAAAATAAATAAATTTAAATGTTCTCAAAACGACTAAAAAACCTGGCTAGTTTTTTGCAACTAAACATAATTTCCGTGGTCAGTATTCCAGATCGATCGCTCCCGCTTCCCGACCAAGCCTGCATATGAATCTTGAAGCCATAGTTCGATTAGTCATTCTGCAAGCTTCTGTTTACTTGTTATTATGTCAGTACTGACTTTGTGTTTAACATGATCCTACAGATTTTCGATAGGGTTTATATCTAAAGAATTGCCAGGCCAATCAAGAAGCTCATTACCTTTCATTATCAAGAAATGTCTTTACAGATTTTCCAGTATAGCATGGAGCATTATCTTGCATAAAAAATATTTTTTCAGGAAACCACTTAGGAAACCACTCTCATATTTGTGGAAATAGGGTAGTCTGTAGGACTTTCTTGTACTGATCTTTTTTCATCTCTATATATAGAAAAACATCACCAGCTTTATGTGGGAAAACATCACAAGTTTTACATGGGAAAACATCACTAGTTTTACATTGGAAAACATCACTACCTTTACATGGGAAAACATCACTAGCTTTACATAGGAAAACATTACTAGCTTTACATATGAAAACATTACTAGCTTTAAATAGAAAAACATCACTAGCTTTACGTAGGAAAACATCACTAGCTTTACCCATTATTAATCCTAAAACAACTGCAACATTCAACAAGTTATTATATGACTGCAAGATTTAAAAAAAAATAACTTATAAACAACTGAAGTTTCATTATTTAAGTTGTAAAGGCAGTCTACAATAATGTAGGTCTCTAAAAAAGACATATAGTTAAAGTTATGATAGACAAAATCAACAGAAAGTTTTTAATTTTATGTTATTAAAGTTTACCAAACCTTTTATAAAGTTAAAAATAAATGACGATGAAGTTATATCAGTAACCCCTATCAAATAAAATCGTTAAAACTTATGAAATAAGTTTTTACGATTTATTATATATAATTAAGACATTTCTTTTTTGAATCTGAAAATTTGAGTAATAACTGTACTTATCAGTTCACATAATTCTTGTTAAATATGTTTTGTCTTCTTTAGTCTTCTCTATTTGTATTTGTTCAACACAACTTCATCTTAGCTACTTCACAACTACACAACTTCACTTTCATCTTAGCTACTTACCTTTACCACATTTTCTTTCTTTTCATTATTTTTTTAATATGCTTAATAACTCTTTTGTCATCAATTTAATTGAGTAAATTCTTTGTAAAAATTGGGTGGTTATCCGTATGTCATTAAAACCCAATCAAGTTCATATTAACTGCATATAATATTAACATGATTCAAGTTAACTTTTTATTTTTTCATCATGTTGAATGGTTTGTCTTTGTTACAAGTGTTTTTTCCAACATTTATTTGTCTCAAAATATTTACCTGTTATAATTGCTTACCTAAATAGTTATTTTGGACAATCAATCAGGAAAATGAGTCAACATTTTGACTTATTTTCCAGATTAGTTTTGAGAAAACATCGGAAAACTATTTTTGAAATATTTAGATTTAAACAAGGGTCAAAAATGTCTTTGATACAGACACCCCTTGAAATGTCTCCGAAATTCACCCAAAAGGGCAACCAACTCTTGTTCATTTCGTTAGAAATGTGATCAGCCAATAGTTGCCTCCTCAGTTTGTCTTAATGACAGTCCAAAGGGTTCTAATGTCCAACACCTATTTTAACCATATATTTAATCTTTGTTAAAACTATAAGGTTATAAATAATAATTAATATATTTTATTTAGTAATTCTGAAAAAACAAAAAGCCATTCAAATATTGTACATTAGTTTTTTAAGTTAGAGTGGTGTCATGGACATAACTAAATTACACAAATATGGGGATGCAGGTTGAAATTGCAGAACATGTTATGGTAACTATGTAATAAAAAAATATTTTTGAGGTACACTATTTATGCATATTAAAATTGTTATTTGATAATTATTATATTTTTATTTTTATTTAATAATTGTATTATTATTAGTTATTTTTTCATTGATGATATAGCTGTAGATTATATAGTTACAAATTATATCAACTGTCTACATTCTTCTACTAAACATTATTCTACTTCTTAAACAGCTGAGTCTACATTCTTCTACTGGCTTAAACTCTAAGTCAATTTAAAAAATCGATTTAAAAAAAATGTTCTGTCACTAAATTGATTATGATGCTCTGTAACAAATTTTCATAAAAATTGCTATTTCATCCCCTCCCTGTTGTGTGATGTGATTTGTGAATGACCTCTAAAATATAAAGTGTGTTTTCTTTGTGTTCTTAAATTTATTTATTTTTTAGGTACAATTAGTTTTTTCAAATAAACCACATATTTTTTTAGGATCAAAAATTCGTCCAGAATTAGATACAGGAAAACATTTACAAGCTCAACCTCGAAAACCAACTATGTCAACTATAGCTCATAAGCGTAAAGATATAGTTTCCCAACCTGTGCAACCAGGTATGTTATTACTTGTTAGCATTATGTTTTCAAAAAAAATTTACTTCTGTGTACTCATTAGTTATAAGTAAATCAGGGTACTTATTAGTAAATTAGATTTTTAAAAAATTATTTTTGAAACTAACAAAAAAAACAAAACAAAAAAAAACACTTTTTTTCTGAAACAAATCCCATTTTGTTAAAGAAAACTATATTTAGTTGAATTTTCATTTAAATGTGAACAATAATTATTTTACTTAAGTAAATTATCTTCCTTAGTAATTGCAAAATACCTTTCAGTGTTATTTTACTTTAGTAATTAAATTTACTGACACTTTTTAAGTTTGAATGTCTTATCATGTTATCATGTTATCATCTTATCAATTTTAAATTTTTTGAATTTTTGAATTTCTTTTATGACCTTTGTTGATTTATTTTGAATAAAATAGATTTTGATAAATAACGAATTATAAGCATAGTTGGATCCGCTTTACCTATTGATCCTTTACATATTGATTGAAGGTTTGAAATCCTCTCTCTCATTGTCTTGAAATAAACAAGACTAACAAACAAGGTTGTTTCTCTTTCTCTTTTCTATACTAGAAGTTAGTTGAAAAAAGTTTATGAAATTCCTATATCGTATTTTAGGTATTTTCCAGTTTAAAAAACTTATTTTCAGAAGTGTCTTTATGCTTTTAAATAATTACATTTATATTAAACATTTGCATAAAATATATAGTTAAATTTTTTATAAATAGTCCCTTGTTTTACTTTAAACAGATTTTTTTTTTGTTGGTTTAAACCATAAAGCCAATGTTCATTCAGTAACCAAGCTAACATTCAGTCAGTGACTAAACTAATATCCGGTCAGTAACCAAACTAACAATCGGTAACAAATTAATATTTTTTAAGTAGTCTTTGCATGTAATTATTTTTCTATCATATTATTGATATATTCATATTTTATATACATACAACTCCAACAATACTAAAACATGTATTAATTTTGTATTTTCTATTTTTATTTTCATGTAGAAAAAATGAAAAAATTTACAAAGTAGCTAAAAAAGAATGAAAAAATGTACAAAGTACATTTTTAAAAAAGAAACTTTTTTTATATTTAATACTTTTTAAAAGAAAAAAGAAAGATTTTTTGGGTTTTAATATTTTTGGGTGCCTATATGGCTTCAACAGTACCTAAACATATGTGGGTTCTGGTTCGCCTCCTATAATTTCTACATATAGTATAATGAAAATTAAATATTACTAAATTTTTCTTTATCGTTTTAGTTACAAATGTAAAGCCCCCACGTGATTTCTCTCCTTCATTTCTCAAAAATAAAGAAGGAAGTTCTTTGAAGTTGATTGATTCTGATTACACTCCCTTTGTTAAACTTATAGAATGTAAGTTTATTTTAATAATGCTAATTGCTTTTATTAGACTTTTTTTTATAAACTCTTAATTTATTTTGAAGCACAAGCTATGGATTTAGAAGATGAAGTATTAACAGCTCATGCCAATCAAGACTTGGATAAAATTGAAGGTTTATTGTGCAACGCTCTAAAGTTGCTAAAGGCAAACAGAATGAAACCAGATCCAATGATTTATCTTACTCTCATCTACTTAGCAAAACTTGAACCAATTTTTTTTCAATCAAAAGCTGTTGTGGAGGTGTTTATTTAGTTATTATTCATTAATGTAGTTTATTTATTCAATTGTGTATTCATTTTTTTGTCATTCAGCCCTTTTTTTTTAACACAGGGTTGTTGTTAAACTAAAATATGCTCTTTTTTTTAACACAGGGTTGTCGTTAAATTAAAATATGCTAATCTTTTCTAGAGTTTATAAAGTGTTTTTTATAGTCTTTATAGTTTTTATTTATTTTTATAGTCCATTTATTTTTTTATAAAAAAGGAAAATGAAACTTGTAAGTTTACCAGTTTGATTTTTAAATGTGTTTCTTCTGTGAGTGTAATTGAATTATGCGCCAGTACTTTTATATATTATTCATTATTTTAAGTTATATATATTATTTTATATATTAATCATTATTTTAAGCTTTATTTTTGCTCAATTATTTTGATGGCCTATAATTAATTGTTTTTAACTATATTTAACAATTTACCAAGTTTCAGTGAATAATTGTCGCAGGTTTTTGCAGTGAACAATTATCTAAGCATATATGGAGTTTTTGCTAAACATATTTTTGAAAATATTTGATTGAAAATTAATTAAATTGATATGTTATATATTTACATAAATAATATATTGATATACTAAAATAATTACATTATTATTATAATATCACTTATAAAACATCTTTTAAAGTTGTTTTTAGTTACAAGTAAATTCTAGAAATCTTGGCATTTATACCAGGATTGGTCATACTCCAGTTTGTGTTGTTTTAAAAATAAAATTTAATTAAGGTATAAACAAATTAAATTTAATTAGGGTATAAATATAAATAAAGCTTAATTAGGTATAAACATAAATAAAATTTAATTAGGGTGTAAACATGTCAGGTCAGGTTATCTTGCTACTGGTAACATGTGACCCATTACAACCTGTTTCATGTCCTGCTGCCTTGCAGGATATGCTTTTTTAGGAAAAGGCTAGGAGAAAATACCCTTGGTTGAGTAAAGACTTTTTCAACAAAAAAAAGATATATCTTCTTGGCTCAGTGCATAGGTCTGCTTGTGTCTCTGTTTTTAAGACTAGGAAACTCATTCTAATATCTCCTAAAACCCAGTTTTATGGTTTCGAGGCCAGCTGGAAGTCAGGTTTCCCAAATTCTAAGGTAGCTCTCAGAGAGAGCTCTGTGGTTGCTTTTAGAGAGACTCTATCAACAGCTGTTATATATCAGAGTATTAACAGTGCACATGGATAGTGTCCCTGTTTGTACTTTTAGCGTGGATTGTTGAGGCCACATTTTGAGCCCATTGTTACAGCTTAAGGTTTATTAGTAGTAATGAGACAATTCTTGGACTATTAAATAGTGTACTGAGTACTATCTGTGCTTTAAATCAAGTTCTTTAACAAACTCGAAAATGAATAAAGTACCAAAAACTATAAAACACAAAAAACCATTGTCATCACCAAGTTCTCTAAACCTATCATTCACTAATATTTTCGGTCTTCGAAGTAAATTTTCTTCTGTTCAGTCTTATCTCTTGCAAAGTTCACCAGACCTCTTGGTTTTTTTAATATTTAAAGAAACTTTTCTTTTTTATTTATAATTTTTAAAAACCCAGATCGAAGATTCTGCGATCTGGGTTTTTTTGCTTAAACATTTATATCTTATGATATCGCAAAATTTATCATTTTCACTTTTTTCATCTTTTCATAATTCACAGACCTAATCATTTAATGGAAATATGTTGTAGTCAACAAAATATCATACAGACGTTATAACATTTTAAAATTGCCTCAACTACACCGAGTGATGCAATAAGATAGACTCTCTTTCATAGATAAATAACCTGATTTTAAAATGCCATTAATATATTTCAAGTCAATCCAAAAAGAATAAAAAATTCAACATGCTCTCCGAATGAATATCGTACTTTACACAGAACACCATAATTATAATATAAAAATGGCAAAGTTCAGACTAAAAACTTCATCCTGGCAGAAAGTTTTCTGCAAAGTCAACTTGTAACAAAACTAAATCAAAATTGCTTTTTAAAACTTTTTTTTGGTTTTCAAAGCTCATTGATTGTTTTCCTTTTATAAAATAATGCAAAAGAAATTTGGGTAGCATTTTTCAAACATTGCTATATAAAATTTTTTTTTTATTGCTTTTTCGAGGTACTTAGTTCCATTACGGACTTTTATAAGGGGTGGTTTAGGCATATGAGATTTCAACGCGATCTTTATAGGGGATAAATGCATATAAACAAAACCAATCTCAGTTGTTAAGAGAATCTTTTTTTCAATTAAGAAGATACAATGGATAATTAAATAAAAAACGTTTTTATAAAATGATTTTTAAACCAAATTAAGAAGGTACAATGGATAATTAAATAAAAAACGTTTTTATAAAATGATTTTTAAACCATTGCTCATCTACAAATTGCACCTTACACGAGTTGCGGATCACAAAGTTTACTTGCTCTTTGTGAGACTAATTTGAGTTTGGCTGTGTCATCTTGTGATCTTGTTGTTGATGGTTATCTTACTTTAATTTGTGAAGACTCCAATAGTCACAGGCCTGAGCATTTACATTCGTAAGAGTTCACCCATTTGTCGGGAGACTAGGTTTGAATCCACAGACTGTTCTTTTATGTGCTTTCATTTAGCACTACTTCACTCTATCGTCTTTCTCTTTGTTATGTACTGCTCTCCTTCATCTTAAGACTGCACTCTTTTCCATTTTATTTCTGATTAAGTTGACCTAACCCTCTCTCTTTATCCTTCGGCTAATACCGTTTTTCATCGACTTTAATGCCCACCACACTGAATGGTTTGGCTCTAGTGTCAGCGACTCAGCAGGTATTAAAGCCCACAACTTTTTCTCAATTCCTAACACAAATAGGTCATTTTCCTTTTTTAAACAAATCATTTACCTTCTCTAATCGACTTATGTCTTGTTTTTGATCCTAGTCAGTGCTCAGTTTCTCCATATTCACCCCTAGGTGCTTCTCATCATGGTTTGATCTTTGCAAAACTATTATCTCATTCTTCTTCTTCATCATTTAAATCTCCCTATCATCTTACCTCTTACAGCTAACTAAAAGCTGAATGGGATTCTTTCTGTGATTTTTTTTGTGATGGCTCTTGGGTAGAAATCTTTTTTTCTTCCTGTTGACCAATGGGTTTTTTACATAACTTCTTGGACTCAGGCTGGCGTGGAATCTTTTATTATCTCTTGATGATTCCGACTTAAGCCTCACTCTTCTTTATGGTTTTCCTCTTATTGTGTTGCTTCAGTTTTTAATCAAAATCATTACTGTCAGCAAAAAAATATAAATAAAACAGAGGTTTGTTTACTATTGCTAGAAACCATTATAAAAAAGTTTTGTCTAATGCCAAAGCCCGCTATTCCTAGGTCATGAAATCTTGTATTTCATCTCTAAATTTAGGCTCTCGTAACTTCTGGAGAATCTTTAACTATTAGTATTGCAAATCTGTTATTCCACCACTCTTGTATAGTTCAGATTTTTTCACTTGACCTAAAGAAAAGGCTGAATTATTAGCTATAGATATAGATAAGAACTTCTTATCTATATCATCTTTTGATTCCACTAGTCGTGTTGTACGTGATATTGCTGACAAACAGGTTAGTTTACCTGACTTTGGTATTACTCCAGCTTCTGTATCCAAAGTAATTTCCTGCTTAGACTCTTCTACAGCTTGTGGTCCAGACAACATGCTTATTATAGTCTTGCAGAAGTGTTCTCCGTAGCTGTGGTCTATACTTTCTAAACTATTTAACAAGTTATCAGAGTCTTGCTTTTCATCCTGCTGTAAAGTGGCATCTGTTATCCCTATTTTAAAAATTCTGGAGAGCGAACTGACTTGTCTAACTACTGTCCCAACATTTAACATCTTTCAGATTATTGAATGCTTCCTTACTAATTGTTGTGTAAAAGTTGTCCTTGATGGACAGCACTCTTCTTCATATCCTGTAACTTCAAGAGTTCCTCAAGGCTCTATCCTTGACTCTATACTCATTTTAATTTACATTAACGATATTCCAGATATTCTCACATCTAAGGTGGCATTGTTCGCTGATGATACTACTGTTTATTCTTTTCTTGATAAGAACTTGATAAGAACACTCTGATTGCTTAGATGTGCATTTAAGTTTGAAAAGAATCTCACTTCTGCTACAGCATGGGGCTCTCAGTGGCTGGTGAAATTTAAATCAAATAAAACTCAATTTTTACTGCTAATTGTTATCACAATAATCTAGATCTTCCTATATTTATAAACGATAATGTACTCGATGAGTCATCTACCCTTCATCTTCTAGGATTAACTAGTTTTGCAATTGATTAGAATTATGGATTAACCCATAAATCAAATCAATTGCAAAACTAGCGTCTGCTGAGGTTGCATTTATTTATACGGCTTGCCACTTTTTACTCAGGATTCTATTCTTTATTTTTATAAATCTCAAATCTATCCTTGTATGAAATACTGTTGCTATATCTGGAGTGAATCTTCCAATGATACCCTTTGCTTTTTTAGACAAGGTGCAAAAATGTATTGTAAACATAGTTGTACCTGTTACGCTAAAAGGATGCAACCTTTCTGAAATAGGAACCAATGAATAAAGTAGATTAAGGTTTTTGGGTCAACTTTATTTATGCAGTAAGTAAAAAATTGTTCAATAATTTTCAAAACTTTTTCAGATAAATCAATGTGACTCTATGGTAATGACCTCTCAGACAATCTCAAAAGTCATTAATCTCAAAAGTCATGTTTAGAAAAATGTTTAAACCGAATGAGTTAGGGTTTGGCTTCTACCAAAAAATTTACTGGTAGTTCTGTAAATTTGTTTTACCAAATTACCGATAAAATTATGTTGATAAATTTAGATAAATAATGATTTTTCCTATACTTTACTATTAAACAATTCATTTAAAATCTCCTATTATAAAATTGTTTATTTTTATTTTTTTTTCCTTTGTGAATAATATTTTGCTGTAAAAAGAATCTAAGTTTTTTAGCCACATAATATAGTTTTTTTTTTTAAATTTCATTATGATTTTTTTTTTACTCTCAGAATTGCACATATTCCTAATGTTGTGTATATTGTTTTCCTTTATGTAAATCAGAACTCATCCACCTCATTTGTTTGTCTCTCTGACAAAAATCTAAAAAGTGACAATGGTGAATATAATCATTTTAAAATATGCTTTGAAATATTTTAAAAAGATTGAAATAGCATGATCAATAAATTAAAAATTTAATAATCACTTTTCTATTGACTAACCTGTTGTTTGTTTTGTTTGGAAACTGATTCTGTGAGTTAAGTTTTGTTTAAATATTTCAACCCCTTAAATGTGTCAAGCCACGTCATGGTTTTGTTGTTAATGTTTGTGTTATATTTTATTTTTCACAGCTTTTAAATTACTTTTCAAAATTAGGATCTTTAGTGTTAAAATATTAGTTATGGTTACTATGGTTACTTCTAAATGATACCACTGAATAGTGCATAGTTTTTTCTTTCTTTAGATTTTTATGTTTTACTGTAAAAATGAGTGATTGTTTTATATCATTTTTGTTTTTTTAGTTGTTTTTTTGATTTTTGCTAAAAAAAATTTTTAATTTTTAATTTTTAATTACTCTGTCAAAGGGTTACGAAATGGTTAAGAACTACTTTCATTTGATTTATTTATTGTGATATTATTTGATTTTCTTTCGGTCTCATTGTCAGACGTTTATGACACTACACCTTAATCAAAAGAAAAACTTTGACTTGCAAAATATGTGGAAATATCAGTAAATACTTAAGTTCCACAACTGAAATGTGGTATCTAGACAAAAAGCATGGAATCAAAAATGAAACAGGAAAAGTTTACAACAAAAATTGCAAAAAGTATAAGATTTCAATTTTCTTTCCAAATCAACCAATTAAAGAAGTTCTAAACTAATCTCACTTTTTTTAATACTCTTTTTTTATCAATAAAAATATTAGATTTAAAAAAAAAAAAGTTTCATTTAAAAAAAAAAAAGTTTTAAAAGAAAATTTTATTTTAAAACAAAGATTTTCTTATTTTTTACATATTTTATCGATATACTGTTAAAGTATGCTGTTTTTTTACCAATTTACTGATAAATTTAAAAGTTGGTAAAAGCTCAACCCTAGAATGATTTAATACCATGTGGAAACATTAATGGGTCTGTTGATGCAACTACAGGTGGTTGCATCAACATAGGACCTCTTCATTATGTCTTTTTTGATTATCTCTTACTACTCAACTTTCATGGATACCATATATATACAATCAATTGCTAAATTAGTATCTGCTAAGGTTGCTTCTCTTTATAGTATTTGCTGTTTTCTAATTCCTGATTCCATTCTCTACCTCTACAATCTCTTATTTGTCCCAGTATTGAATGTTGCTGTCATATTTGGACTGGTTCTTTTAATGATGCTCCTTCTTTTCTAGGCCATTTCCAAAAACCCATTGTAAACATAATTGATCCCCTCTATCTGATGAGTTTAAGCTTCTTTACCATTGTCATAAATTTCATCTCTTTCTCTTTTCTACAAATGTTATCATGGTTGCTACTTAAAGTAGCTATTATCTCTAGTTTCATCAATTAAAACTCATTCCCGCTTGACTCATTCTGCCTTGTTAGGAGTGAATCAGAATTAAAAAAAAAGGTTTACCTGCATTATCATGTAAACTCCTTTAAGTGAATATAATACCCAGATGGGAATTATTTGTGTTCAAAAAATTAATATCTAGAAAGAATTATACAAGTTGCTAATAATGTTCTAAGGGAATTATTTGTTTGGCAAATTTAAAAGAAAAGTCACAAAAAAGGAAACTAATAAGACTTTTGAACTTTTAACAAATTGTAAAAAGAATAGCAAATATATATTGACATATGTTTCGATATTCATTAAACTTTAATAAATAAATTTGATAAAACTATTTGTTTCAAGGATAGTATTCGCATTATTTATATAAGAATTTGAGGTATACAGAAGTATATATTCGGAATCTAGGTCTATGTTACTGAACAGCTCCGTTGGTCACTTTTTGCGATCATTGTATCGCATAAACAAATAAATATAATAATATGAACAATTTTAAAAAATGCAAAAATATGCATCAAAGGACTAGACCGAGTTGTCAAGCCCAAGTGAAATAAGCAAAAATTTAGGAATAGAGAAATTATAAAATAATTAAAATATATTTTGAAATATATATATACGTTCAGAACAAAAACAAAGATACTATAGTAAAGCATGTAGTAAAAAATAATAATAATAATTTTAAAGCCGTGCATGTAAAAGAAATGCAATAAAAATCTTCACTTCCAACAAGGCTGCAAGTAACCAATATTAGAGTCGGAAGTTACTAGAAGAGAAAAGATGAAGTTTACAAAGAAGTATAACGATTAACAGAAAATAGGAGCCTCATGTTGTAGCAGAAGTAGGATCCTTTTCAAGCTCAAATGCCCCTCTAAGTTATCAGAGAGTGTTGGCTTGTTATCAAGACAAGAATAAATAGTAGTATCATCAGCAAACAATGCCACCTTAGAAGTGAGAGTTTTTGGAAGATCGTTAATGTAAATTAAAAAAAGTATAGAGCCAAGGATAGAACCTTGAGGAACCCCTGAAATTACAGGAAATGATAAAGAGTGCCATTTATTGACAACTTTTATACTGTAATTGTTAAGGAAGAATTCAATAATCTTAAAGATGATTAAAGTGCACCTGATGCACCATAAGAAGAGAGTGTATGGAGAAGACCTACATAGAAATTATACAGAGAAAACCTGCATGCCAAACTTTATCAAAGGCTTTGAAAATGTTGAGAGCGATAACCTGAACCTCTTCACGTCTATCTAATGCCCTATGAAACCTATCGGCTATAACTGTCAACAAATCAGATTGAAAACAAGAAGATCAAAATCTATATAGATGATCAGAAAGTTGATAGATTCAAGATGAGAGTTAAGTGTTTGTTAATTAAAAAAACTCAAAAGTCTTGTTTATGTAAGATTATTATATAAGAAGACTAATGGGATTTTAAGTCAGATTGCTCTCTCAAGTTTTTGATGAATGAAAGAAGTTCTGGAAGACTATAACAGGTATTTTGTCCGGGCTACAAGTTGTAGAAAAGTCTAAGCAGGAAAGCACTTTAGATATAGATGTTGGAGTGATTCAAATGCCAAGCTATAGATCAATTTGTTTATCGGCTATATCAGGTAGGGTGTGATTAGTGAAATCAAGAGATGAGTTTGATAAAAAGTTTTTAGAAAACAATTCAGCTTCGTCTTTAGGTGATGTAACAAAATCTGAACCATGCAATTTGGAATAACAGATTTGTCCTTATTATAGACACTGTTAAAGATTATCCAGAAGTTTTTGAAGACTAATTTTTGAGATGAAATACGAGATTTCCTGATTTGAGAATAGTAGGTCAGGGTTTTATTTATTAAACATGTTTATTTGTGCACTAGAATATGTTGTTTTTTT